TGAAGTGTCCCCTTACATTGGTGGTCAGTATTGAAGCATCCCCTTACATTGGTGGTCAGTGTAGTAGTGTATCCCTTACATTGGTGGTCACTGAAAAAGTGCAATCTCATATCGGTGGTCCTTCCCAGAGACACTGGGATTGATTTACTTAAGGCAAATAGGCCTGTTCACTTTGTAAGGGGAATTTTCACTTTCCAAGTGAATATTCCCTCAGTGAATGAGTAGAAGCTCTGCTGAGTTCCATCATTCAATCATGTGCAAACAAAAATACTGTTTTAAAAAAAAATGATTTTCCTTGCACGTTATTGGGTATTGTTTGAGTTTTTGCCACATACAACATGCTAGAGGAAAATTCTTCTGAAAAGTGAACAGCCTATTTTTCTATAGTAAATCAACCTCATTATGTCACTGGGCCAATAAGTGAAGGGAAATCTCTGAAGTTGACACATAGACAGCAGCAGAATGGCAACAGAGGCTCTAACCCTTCTCCACACTATCCGAAACAAAAATAACGTTTTCACGGGAGTTGGCCTTTAAATGATTATAATTGTGTGAGTGTACTTACTAAAGTTTTAAGTTTTTACAATTCTTTTAACTAGGGATGCACCGATACCGGTATTTTGGTACCGAGTACAAGTACCGATAATTTTTTTTTGGTACTCGCCGACACCAATTACAGAGTAACGGAAGTCCCATACAGGAAGCCAGGTGACGTGTAATGACTCGCCACCTGGCTTCCCGATTAGCCGGGAAGCCGAGCAGTGTGTAAAGACTCGCCACCCGGCTTCTTACCTTGGTATGTCCAGCCTGTCACCCCCGGGCCTCTCCAGCCAGAACGCAGCCTTCCTCCGGTAACCCAGCCGGAGCCGTCTGGCCGGCCAATCAGGAAGCCGGGCGTCGTGTAATGACGCGACGCCCTCCTTCCTGATTGGCTGGGAGGCTGGCTCCGTGCTCCCTCGTCATGAGATGACGAGAGAGCATGGAGCCGCTTCCCGGCCAATCGGGAAACCGGGCAGCGTGTAATGACGCGCTGCCCAGCTTCCTGATACCGGAAGTACTCGTGCTAAGCATCGGAGCATTTGGGCGAGTACGAGTACTCGCCCAAATACTCGGAGTCGGCATCCCTACTTTTAACTATTGCTCCATGCCACTATGTTATGCAAACACATGAAATTAGTATTAACCCCTTCATGACTGAGGCCCTTTTTTCCATTTTTGCACCCATGTTATATTCCACATTTTAGGCCTGAAAATACTTTTTTTCAAAAATGAATCCAGTTCAAACAATGATACATTGCCCAGCAAAGCATTACTTTACATTTTTGCCCAATCACTTACAGTCAATAAGTTTCTGAACCGCTCCAACTCTCTCAGCTCTGCTTCTCTAAACTTCCTATCCAGTAAAAGACCACAAGGGACAGCACGTTCTCCAGCAGCTGTCCATCTACTAGCTTGGACAAGGGAGGAGGAGGGGAGGACAGGGGGAGGGTAGTGTTGCGTCTTGCTGAGCCTCTGTGTTAGTGGAGACACGCACAGCTTACAAGCACACACAGGAAACTAAAACCTCTAAACATTAAGAAGCAGCATCCATTGTAAGTTATTTCATCAGCATTTGAAATAGCTTAAAAAACATTTTGACTTTAATATCACTTTAAAGGAGAACTATGAGGTGAGTGCTTTTCACTCACCTCATAGTTCTAGCCGACCTGTGACAATGAGACTGTCACAGGTCAGCTCAGTAGATCGGGAGGTGAGCGAACACATACCGGCGTTCACTCACCTCTCGATCCTGTCACAGCTCTCTGCCATGACAGGGGATGGGCTGGATTCCCCCCTCCCCGCTCCGATCCTCCAGCGCTGACTGGCGGATCGGACGGGGGAGGGGGCGGGTACAGCTGGCTCTGCCTTTAGATAGGCAGAGCCAGCTGTCACTCACGCAGCTGGGCAGATTCAGACATAATTGTCGAGATCCGCTCCGGCTGCGGCGTCTCAGTATACCGCGAGCTTTAGCTCGCGGTATACTGAGCTTAGGATGACGGGAGGACGCTAGCTTGTGTCCTCCCGTTACCCTAAGAACTATGGGGAAAAGCCTTTAAGCGTTCTCCTTTTAAGCTAGAAGACAGTGTGCAAGGTCAATAGTTAAAGGGCTTAAATTTATGTCGGTTAACTTCTCACCTTTGACCCTAAGTGAAGAGTCAGACTCAGACAAAGTACGTAAAACTAAATAATGAAGCAATGTATAAAAAAGCTATTTGCAAACAACCCGATTGCCTGGTAAAAAATTCACTTACCTTGGCCCTGGCTTCCAACTCTTCTGTGAGGCACAAGTGATATCACCCTGCTTCACTGCTGCCTCCTAAGATAGCTGAGCATTCAAATTCCCATGAGAATGCGCTCTTGCAATGAGCTGAAGTGCATTCTTGTGGGGTTTTGAGCTCCCAGCTCTGCGGGAAGACATGGTGACTTTACCTGAGCCTCCTGGAAGCGCTGGGGGCCAGGGTAAGTATTTTTCTTTTAGTGATCTGTTTGTTTACAAATGGCTTGTTAAAGCTATTTGTGTTGGCGTGGCAAGGGGCTTTGCCATTTGGCATGGAAGGTCTGCTTTAAGAATGATTATTTAGATTCCTCCATAAGCCCAGTCTTGGCTTGTTCTCTTAAAATCCCAGTTACATACATTTTTGTTGTTATGGAGAGATTTAAGAAGGAATAGAACCTTTGCTGGATTTTTATTGCGGTCTATCGCTTTCTGTTCCCTGGACACCATGTCAAACAGGATGTCACTGCGACAGGATATGAGAGCAAATCTCCCTATTGTTGAAATGTGCAACAAAACCCAACAGGGCTTCTGGCTCTTGCCCTCGCTGCCAAAAACTCGATCTGTACCTAATATAGTTTTTTCTTGGGGGCAAAAAGTGTTCTCAATACATATAGGTTGTTTATGCTATAGATTGAATTTGAGAAGATGCATATGCACGGCATCTTATGAAATATTTATCAGTGAAAATATAAAATAGGTGTAACAATATCTTCATTATACAGTGATAAATGAAGTAAATCATGATGTGCTTACTATAGAATTACATTATTCAGACTTTATTTCAGAACTGGCAAGCCTCCCATCATGATATCCCACACACATCCATCATCCTAAATAGCCAGGATTCATTATCAGCTATTACACGAAAGCAGGAGGAGAATCTTGAGAACTATACTTTTACAAGAGCATTTATTTCAGATTTCCAACTATAGTTGAATCCCTTGTATGCCATAACTGCGAAAACTGTTAAACAACAACACTACTTACCAGTTGTATGCAGGGCCGGATTTACTCTCTCTGCTGCCCCAAGGACGGGTTCCTCAATGCGCCCCAATAACCCCCCCCCATGAAGTATGGCATATTTGTCTTATTATCTGTTTGAATTTTTCTATTTTATTATTTTTTACTTGATCACTTTATTTATTTTCATTTTTTCTTATGATTGCTCCTGTGTAATAGCAATAAAGTCAACAGGCCGCTGTGTGATAGCATTTGGAAGTGACAGGTTCTCTTTATTGCCTGGCGGCTGTACTGCCCCTTTATTCCCTGCTGCCCCAAGGCCTGGCCTTGGTGGTCTTGTGGGAAATCCGGCCCTGCTTGTATGTAACATGGTCACATAATATAACCCCAAGGCAATTTAAGAAATACTTATAATCCTTTCTGGGAAACATCCTTGTTTTTATATGGTGTACCCATATCTTCATCTGCATGGTATATGTAGACATCTTTGAATTCCAGCTCCCCTGAGTGGCCACTGCTTCCCCCTAGTCAACACATAGCATAGTAAGTTGAACCAGGAAAAATTTAAAGAAAAAAAGTTTTTCCGGTTCTGAGCAATGTTATATGGAGGGGATGGTCTCAGTTGCATATTCATACCATGTGTGGAGGACAGAATGGATGGTTGGACTTCCTGTGTATGCTGAGGGTCAATTTACCACGATTTCTGTTGTGCCCCTCGCAATTTAGAAGCTCAGCTATTCTGACTCAGCCTAGGTCAAGTGGGCCAGTGTTTACATGTCTAATCATATTAATACAAGATGACTTTGTGGAGCTACCCTTTGATATGTAAGGAGAAAGATTGAAGTGACATGCTCCGAAAGATGATGCGCATTGTCAGAAAAGAAGATCTAGAAGAACTAGGTCTGGACAGTTATTATTGTATTGTTCTGCATTGTGTTATTATTTACCTCGGCCTTTCTCAACCAGAGTTCCATGGAACCCTAGGGTTCTACCAGAGGCTGCTAAGGGTTCCATCAGCACTGATAATTTTTTGCCTCTCAGAAGTCATCACTTGCATAATTTTTTTTATCTATGTGTAAAGTAGACCTTCATCTTACTGACCACCAATGTAAGGAGCACTCTGCCCACTGACTACCAGTGTAATGGGGCCTTTCCCCAATGACCACCAATGTAATGTTGTCCTTTTTTCCACTGGCCACCAATCTAAATGGCCCCTTCTCCTCGGACCACCGATTTAAGGGAGCATTGTACTGTCCACCAATATAAGCTGGCCATTCACTGCTCTATTTTGTTCGTTCAACCCACGGGCTGAACAAAAAAAAATAGAGCAGATTTCTCCATCAACGCAATGAGCGATGTAGATAGAAGAATTCACACCGTTTCTTTAGTATTCTGAGGGCAGCCAATGGCCGCTCTCAGAATACCTGAACATAGCCGGCAGTTCATTGGCTGTCGGCTATGTTCGTACAAAGATTTTCTGACTGACTCCTTTGATCAGCTGATTGAGGGATGTTGGTGGAAGGGGTGCCGACAGCAGCACCCACTGTATGAGTGCACAGTGTACGGCCAATCTTAAGGAGGACCTTACTGACCATCAATGCAGGGAAACACCACAATGTTTAATGTCTGCTTGGCTTTTATTACTGTGTATTTAATGTCTTATTACTGTGAATAAATCATATAGAGTATGCCAAATTTTTTATTCTTGTATTTATTCTTAAAGGCCTAGATACGGAGGAAGATATTGCCTGGGGGAGAGAAAGAGATACCGTGTGTGTAATGTTACACCCTGTCCTCAGGGCGTTCCTTCATTGCGTGAAGTGCAATGCTCCCAGTTTGATTCTGTACCTTACAAAGGGAAGCTTCACCAATGGAGCCCAGTGTTCATCAGCAGTAAGTATATAGCAAAACATTACCAAATCAAATGATCTGAACAAGTAAAAGTACTATTTTAAAGTGTGAATTTCTTATATTATTCAGTATCTCTAGACAAAACTTTTCTTTTAGTTTAGGATGGAGTAGGTTAACAGTCACATCCTCTATGAGGTTTTTATTACTGTCAGATTTACCTCCTCTAGTTGTCCTGGTGACTATTGTCACCAAAATAGAAAGTGATAGGAAGTCCAAAATGTTCCTGTTGAGGACATCTGCTCCTCTTCACATAGGAAGCTAGTGCCAGGATCTCTCTGCCCGCCATTACACTACACCTAGAAACCACACTCTGCACAATCTCAGTGGTTATGCAGTGCTTCCTTATTGTTGTTTATCAAGGCAGCTTTTTATCATGCCTCTGCATTGATGTTCAATCTTCTCTCCTGGTTTTGAGCAGTAAATCCATGTGAGCTTCACTGCCAGTCAAGCACAGAGTACTTTGCAGAGAAGCTACGAGATGCCGTGATCGATGGAACCCCATGTTTTGAGGGAAACACAAGCCGAGATGTGTGCATCAATGGAATATGTAAGGTATGATATATTGTTTGATGTTGATGAGATGTCAAGTTTATAATGTATCCTGTTCTAATATTCAATAAAAAGGCAACAAGGAAAGTGCAATGTTATTAGCAACTTGCTACAGATGCTAAAAAGGCTGGGTCAGCCCATGGCTTCATATATCTCCTGAGTACTCCAACTGTGAGGTCCCTCAATTGTTCTTGCTGACCTGTTGCACTCTCCTTTTATGTAATGGATTTTCCCTTTAAATTATCTAGAGTGGGAACCCTCCACAATGGTTATATCAGTTATGCAGACCTAGAAACCCAAATGCAGAGGTTTGACTAACAGATGTATAAGAAACATCTGGTGTGGAAGGTGGTTTAACTTTCCAGCATGCACCAAAAGCTGGAGTATTATTTGTGGCACGAGTGGTCCTTTAAAAGGCATCATGAATGTCAGTATGTCTTTTAGGAAATGCATATTGTTTTACCTGATAACCAAATATAACTGTATATGATAGCAGACTCAATATAGGTACCTCCCTGCCATCTCTCCATATTCCATGTTAAAGTAACCCTACTACTGAGGCTAACATTTTAACTCTGCATTATCCCAGATTATTTCTAAGCAACACCAAAGGTAATATGTCCAAGTAGCATAGAATCAGGCTTAATTATTTGATTTTTCAACATAGAACATTGGCTGTGACTACGAGATTGACTCCAATGCTGTGGAGGACCGCTGTGGTGTTTGTCATGGTGACTCTTCTACATGTCATACTGTGCACAAAACGTTTGATGACAGTGATGGACTTGGTGAGTTTAAATACGTATATATACAGATTGAATATGGTTTAGGGAAGTAGTATAGTAATCAAGTGTTTGAATGGGGCAAGGCACTTGGGGAAAACATGTGAGTTTTAACCCACATAGCCAGATTGACATGAACAGGAGTTTTGCTGGACTGCTGGTGAGACTTAGAGACCCCATTGCTAGATTATTCATTTTAACAAAAATCGTGCTACAGGATTTGATGTGCATTTAACATATTTAATGTATGGTATGGTAAACTCCTCTATTGTGTACACATCCAAAAGCCCTGACACTGCTGCTGGGTGCTGCCACATTGAATGTATTGTCAGCAGACTCAAGACTGTCAATAAAGGGACACTCTATAGTGTTCCCCGTTGCTTCTCCTTCAGCAGTTTCACAAAGGTTATGTAGGAAGGTAAAGGGTGGAGGAGCTCGGCCAGCAGAGAGTAATTAGACACTCCCAGAAGAAGAGAGGGCTATTGGTAGGGAATTTACTTTTCTGGAGTGGTTACATTTTCTTGCAAGTTGAAAGGCACATTCCAATGAATAAAAAATTATTTATGGAAAGGAAAACCACTGCAGGTAAACATGTAAAGTATTTGATTTTCGGTGCTTTTGCCTGCATTTTTAAAGTTGGTAATCAGGGTCAATTTAAAATTTCTTTTGAATTTAGAAGTGTTGCAGTGGTGTTGCATGGGGCATATTTTCTTAAAGCAAAACTCCAGCTTGGCACACTGTAACTATGTACAATATATATGATCCCTGGCAGGGCCATGAGTGCCACGGGGATAACACTGTAGTAGCCGAAGCTTCTTAATGGAATACAAGTAGAATACTTGTAGTCATTCATTCTTCCTCCCATCTATGTTACTAAATGGAAGAGTCTGCAGGAGCCAGAGCATTGCACCTGTGATCCCCTGATTGCGGATGCAATACTTTACTGGCTACAACGCTGAATGAAAAAAATCTAGCAGATTCCTACCTGTTTAGCGTGGACAGGTGAACCTTCCAATGCTGCTATTAGCTGATTGGCTGCAGTCACTGTTCAGTCGAACATTATCAGCCCTATTAGATTGACTTTTGTCGAGCCGACAGGGTCACACACTGTAAAAATGTCATCCGATTCCAGTGATTCTGCTGAAATTCTAACAGTGTATGGCCAGCCTATGAGCGTTGTCACTCTACAACAGGAAGTGTGTTACTGGAAGGTTAAAATATAGAGAAAATAAAAACAAAACATATCTAAAGCAGGACTGCAAGGGTTAAGTGTGAGGATATGAGGATATGCTGCAGCATAGAAGGAGAGTAGCAGACAGCCGGCTCTGCGGTTCGTGTGAGCATAACTTTATTTTTATTTTAGCAACTAAACACAAATGAGCAACTTTTTTGTGGGGGTAGTCCCGCTGCAAGGGTTAAGAAAGCTTAAGAACACAGAGTTCTGCTTTAAGAACTGGTTAACTGCATTATATAATACATTTTAGTTTTTTTGGGTTACAGTATGCTTTAGCATAAAAACCAGGGTCCACGGCAGACCCCCCCAAAACCAGGGTCCAATGAAGCCCCCACTGACCACCGGGGACATTTTTAAATGTCCCCGGGAACATAAAATAACACTTTTTTTTTTTTTAATACTACTCACCTGATTCCTGGATCCACCAAGTCCCGCCTTCCGCCTCCACAGTACAACAACCAGATATTGCCGTTCCCTGGGTGATATGTGTGTGTGTGGGTGGGGTGTACAGGGACAATGATGGCATGCTTGGACTTGTAGTTCCTTAGCTGATATATATGTGTGGGGGAGGGGGGTACAGTTCTAGTGGATGTTTATATAATATGGGGGGGGGGAATGTTTCTGCCCCGGGCGCCCATAACTCTGGTTACGCCACTGTAGCTGTCGATCAATGTAAAAGTACATCATTATTCATATTGCTCCTCTTTCTATACGTTGGTGAACAGGTATACTGAGTGTGTCAGCGTGTGTGTGTCATCTGAGTGTGTATTCGGTGGAGGGAAGACTTCATAAAAGATTGTTTATATGAACGCCGGTCCAGCACAGACAAATATGGTCACAAGCACGAAAACAGGTCATAGAACGAGCTGGCAAAAAAAGCACATAAACACATCTATCTTTTCTAAATGAAATGCTTGTCCTGTGCCAGAGATAGGAGCTGCATCCAAACTAGTACACAGCTGTGAGCTCTTCGATAAACTGTTTAATATGATGGCACGTAGGCGTCTTTCATTACACTTCTTTTGATGCCTTCACTGCTTATTAAAGCTTTTGGCCCTTTTGTAGCAAGGAATTGTATTTGAGCTCAGTTGAAGCAGGTTGGCATTAAAGGAGAAGTATTGGGAGAGTAACATTTACTTTTCCCAACACTTAGAGCCGACGTGTGGCCCTGCAAATGTCATATGCCGTCTCTCTAGCTCGAGAAGTGAATGATCACAAACTGCTGATCGCTCAGCTAACTGTATTTCATCTTTGTATTTAGCTTTTTGCTTGGAGTTCCATAATAATGGCTTCTTCTGTCTGCCAGTAGATGATCATTTCTCTATCATTAGTAGCACTGGAACTCAGTCCGAATGCATCTGCATGCTGGAGTTTCATATAAGCATGATCACATTGTTGGTTCCTAGCATAATTGATTTTTTAATGGGTTACCAGTAATTGCAAAGTATATACTCTTAAGCTTAAAATGTTTTGCGTTTTGTAAATAATTTATGTGTGTCTTCCAGGTTATGTGGACATAGGTCTCATTCCGCCAGGTGCTCGTGAGATCCGAATTGAAGAAGTGGCAGAGGCTGGAAACTTTTTAGCTCTCCGCAGTGAAGACCCAGAGAAGTATTTCTTGAATGGCAAATGGACTATCCAGTGGAATGGGGATTACCAAGCAGCAGGCACAACTTTCACCTACACCCGCACTGGGAATTTGGAAAACCTGACCGCACCTGGACCAACCTACGAGCCTGTATGGATACAGGTAATATGGTAGCAATATATCCGCTGACATTTTCATCTAACATCCGAATTGTAAACCATTAGAAGTTCCAAAAACATGCAGCCCGGTGTTTCAGATTTTCTGCAGAAAACTTTGTAGATAGACCTGTGACCAGACATATCTGTATTGATGAGCTCAGTTGGTGGATCAAGTACAATAGATGTTTCAACAGTATATGTTTTACTTTATCACATTTTATTTGGTACTCTAAGGGTTTCATTTATAAAAGTTACGGCACTAGCACTCCTAGATGGCGATGACGAGTATAGGAATTTACTATAATTTATCAGCTCCATTTAGGGGCACTAGTGCCGTGCACAGAACATTGCCAGGCGGCACCTTTCTAAATGAACCCCATGATGTCTGTGCACAGTTGGCTGTACATGAACTTTGAGAACAGCTGCACACCTGGGCCTTTCCCCTATCATTGTTCTGATACTGCACACTGTGGACCCAATTTATTAAAGGGTAATGAAGTAATCCATGTTCATGTCAGTTATCCAGCTATGGGTAAAAGAAGATCTCTTCTTTCCTTTTTTTTTTTTTTTTACACTTGTCATCATAACAGAAGGTAAAAGGAAATCTTCCAATGGGTAGAATTATTCTGGTGACAATGGTCAAAGAGGTTGAAATTGTAGAGGCTTCCTCTGATTTCCTGTTGTGCTTTGGAGACAGGAAGTGAATGGAAATCTCACCAACTCGATTTCAAATAGCAAACAATAAAACTGACAAAGATCTTCTTAACCTTTCGCTACTCTCTCTAAAACTAAAAAATAAGGTTTTGTCTATATATACACTTTAAATAAGACTCCCCCCCCCCCCCCCCCCCCCCCCACACCCACACCAACGGAT